TTGAAAAATGTTATCATAGTATACTTTCCTCAGTGCATGTTTAAAAGATCAGACCATGCGGTCCGAACTAGTCACCAACTGGTTCTGAGTATGCCCAGTCAGCTCAGAGAGTTAGAAAATATATAAATAAAATAAAAATTGAAAACAATAAAATTTGGGTGAGAAGGAAATGCTAAAAAAGAAGAAAAAAACACTACAACCTGAAGAAATTAAGATAATTTTTTTATAAAAATGAGCTTTAAATCATATTTTTTGATCTACGTCTACATCAGATTCAGAATTGAGCTCAAAATGAAACAAAAAAGAAAAATAAAAGAGAGAGACAAATTTCATCTAAAAAGAGCCTAGATCAAAAAATATGATTCAGATCTTATAAAGTAACTTAAAAAATACCAAAATCATATTTTATTGGGAGAATATACATCATAAGGACAAAAAAAAGGAAAGAAAAAAAAGGACAATTGAAGAAAATGGCAGGAAAATACTTGAAAATAACCAAAAAATCATGTTAGGACGATTATAGATCAATATGACAATAGAACATTTCGAATCAAACTTGACCAAATTTGGTAATAGAATGAGAGTGAAATTGAAGATTTTTTATTTCAATTTCAAGAAACTAAGAAAGGGGTTGAGTCAAGGTGGTAGCACCCCCATACTTAGTTACCAAGTTGTGGTTTTCAATGGTGTTAATACCACCCATCACTTTAAAAAAAACTAATTCCCTAATCTATATGAAAAAAAAATGGGTAGGGCCAGTCTTCCCTACTAAATTACCAAAAAAAAAAAATTCAAGAAACTCCAAACCTTCATTTTGATTTTTTTTTTTTGAAAAGTAACGCATAAATGGGAAAGAGGGCTTGGAAACTAAAGTTTGAGAGTAATTTCATGATTCTTAGTGAAAAATGAGTAAAAAAGAGTGAAAACGAGAGATTAAATATTTACCCAAAAAAAGAAAATGAGAGATTAGATATTTCATAATAAAATATTTCCCAAGATTTGTTTTCACTAGCAAGGATAGTGTCTGATATTCAAAAAAGTTTCAAACAGTCATCCGTCGATGCCGCTACTGTTCATGTAGAGCCACACGCAACTTTCAAATTTAGATGACACCCAATGGATTTTAGTGCAATTACTTTACGAAACATCAAGTATATATTATTATTATATACCAAGTGATAGATTTGAAAATGCCGCAAAGAGCGGCAACTGTCTCTTCGATCATCCTTTGAAAATTACTTTTTCCCAACCACTATATAATTTTAATATGCCTACTGTTTTTAATTGATTAACTTTGTATTAATAATTAATTAATCAGCCATGCTTCATAAGTTTATGGAGTTAAATCGAATGCCTATGATTTACTTAGTACCCGGGTGATTATGTTACTTTGCTTTTTACCATTCCCATATTAATTATAGGAAAAAGTTTACATAAGGTGTAACCTTATGCTAAACGAGTACAGTGCACCTAGAACACCCACTCGCGAAGATTGTTCCTATGTTGGAAACCCTCAAATCGATCATCTCGAGATCTCGAGATTTATAGACATGAAGAAAAGGAGAATTTTTAGTCCTAAAAATTGTTTACCTTCTAACACGTTATTTGGACTGTCGATTTTCAAGTGTTTATAGATCTGCTTGATCGTCACTATCTCTAAAACTTTAAATTTCATACTTGGGGGTAACAATAGATTTTCAAGGCTTTGCGGTACTAAAACTGTATTTTCGAAATAGTTTTGTGGTGCACCTTAATTCAATAGTATCAGGTTGACACTTTATACAAACATCATCCTTGATTATACTGCTTCAAAGGAGATTGTACATTATAACCCCTTTTTTTTCGGGTAAAAGGAGGGCATAATTATTGTTGCAGTAAAATATAAAATCCATAAGCTTAGGATATGTTATAAAGATCAATAAAAAAAAATTTAAAACTTTAAGCTTGATTAATGACATATCCCCAACTATCAAATTTCAAATCTTGTGACTGATGATAATTATGACTTTTTAATATCAAAGATAAATAATGTTATATGTTTCCCGTGCATGTACAAGTAGCCTCCGCAAGGGAAACATAAAATTCATTATTTCTTTATGAATTAGTCAAAAGGTGCCTTACTTTTCCATCAACAAGGACTAAGGACAATATTTGCATTCAAGATACATAATGATAAAGTCGGTTCTATCAAGGACAAAATTGTGCACAATATTTCTCAAATTATTTTATTCATAGGGTTATCTTTTAAGTAAATTTTGGGGCGTCCATAATCACATACATCTCCTTCTAAATTCATATTAGAGATAGGTTTTGGATGTTAAACTATTTAATTCATAAAACGGTGTGATTTTTATGAGGTTGTAACTTTACTTGTAAAAATAAGATTTTGATGCTCTACACAATCTATTTTATTATGATAGTGTAGACTGTGAAGAGTATCAGGTTTTTCTTAAAAGTCTTAGGTTTCTCTGAAGAGAATCAAAGTCCATTAATTATATAAGTATACAGACTTGACTTTTATAGATAAATTATATAACAGAAAATATAGAAATAAATTACAAATTCCTATACTATACCCAGTCTTACCATAAATATAAAATATTGTATTCACCCTTCTCAAATATACAGATTACAATATACACCTTGCATATTAACCTGATAACAATATATACTTTCCTTTCACACTCTCCCTCAAACTCAAGATTCTATGAGAGAGATTAACTGGAGTTTGAACATTAATTACGGAAACGAGTAGTTGAATCTTCAAGTGTATAGCATGACCAGTAGATACAATGGTTGTCAAGCTCAGATTGCTTGATCAACAAGCACAGAAAGCAGCGGCGGATCAACAAGCCTTAGGAACAGATGGCCTCAAGAATTGAGGACCATATCAGAGTAGGTTCGATTAATCAGACAAAAATGCCAGAGAAAAAAACATATCAAAGAGTCGAAAACGATTCGGTAGATAGACAAATCTGAGAGTTGAAATACGACTCAGCAAAGAGTCAAAAAATGACTTGATAGAAGTTGCACCGACTGGGTGAGCAACAGATTCGTCTTAAAAATCGACGACAATACTCCAGGGACGAGGAATGGACACAACTAAGATGAATTTAGTTATGATACCATATGATGATTCTCAGATTTCTCTGAAGAGTCTTAGGTTTCTCTAAAGAGACTCAGTATCTATTAATCGTATGAATGTATAGACTTGTCTTTTATAAACAAATTATAGATCAGAAAATATAGAAATAAATCACAGATTGCTATACTAAACCCAGTCTTACCATATATATAAGATATTGTATCTACCCTTTCTAAATATACAAATTACAATATACACCTTTCATATTAACCTGATAACAATATATGTTTTCATTTCACATAAATTTACCACAACATTTAAAACAATATCAATACATGACACGTCTTTTAAGACATTATTCAATCTACACTGTCCAAAAAAAAATAGAGGTTAGGACCAACGTTATTGTTGCAAGTAAGGTTACAATCTTACATCTTTTTCCTTCACAAAAATGATCACTACTTTGGTACGATAGCATTCTACAAAGTACACAACTTACATAGGAAATGAGGAAATAAGCCATCGCTCATCTTGGCAATCTTCCTTGTTAATGATGATCATTTGGACTATAGTGGGGCTCACACTTTTCTAATGGATCTACGATGTGATCCCTTGTAAAATTTATCAAAATAATCATAAAATATATACTATTTAACGTCTTTTGATTTAATTTCTAAATACACAATAAAAAAAATGTTATTATAACGGAATTATATATATTGAGACCATTTCTTTTTTATATCAGGAGAGCACAATCATTTTTAGCCATTGAATGTGAAATACAATAAATGAAAATGTCCCAACATTCGATAAGTTTTGTTTAGGAATTTGTATCTAAACAACGAAACATCTTCAACCACCCAATTTAAATTTAATTGTCAAATCATGATTGTAACATCTTGATATCAAAAGTAAATGGTCTGATTGTATATTTTTTGATTAAGATATCGTTTTCATTTGGCCAACCCGCATACTGTAGAAATACAGGCTTGAAAATAAATATATTTTTTAAGTATAATTTGATCCTAATTTTTAGAGAATATATAATCTTTAACATGAAGATAATGAATATAACAAAAAATTAAAAAATTAAAATAATAATTATATCAATAAAACATTTGAACAGTTAGTTACAATGGTTTTTGACGAACAACCTATTTGCATCTATCTTTAAGATGGATGTTTTATACTTCTGGACCACATATTGTAGAAATACAATCCATTCTGCATGAGACAATTTTCCTTCTGATTATAATATGGAATGGTTACATAAGGGTAAATTAGCTCGGCTCCTATAAATCCCAAAAGGCCTTGTCGACTTATTTTATGGTTCAGAAATAACGTAATTTCTTTGGGTTGCTCAGTTTATGGAGACTTTGTAAGCATATTGATGACTTGATTACTCCTAAGAGAGAGAGAGAAAGAAAGGCATTGTAACATGCAATTGCCACCTGATCATAAAGAGGCAAAGAAGAGAATACTTATACTTCGCAATGGTACAAACAACAGAAACCGGAATAGGGTTTTTTTTTAAGGGAAATTATAGAATAAAACCGTTTACCTTTGGTATAAGGTAGTCGCATTAATCTTGATCGTTGGGTGGCTGTTATTATTCCATTGACAAAGCTCAAATTTCAAAAAAAAAATTTCCAATTTGATGACATATCTAATCTATCAAATTTCATATGTTTGTAAGTAATTGTTACCACCTTGTATAAAAAATAAATGGTTTCATTATATAAAATCTCTTTTTCTAATAGTTTTTAAAATTATAAGTAATATTATGCATTTCTTCGAAATATGTCGAATAACAAACAAGCCACAAAATGAACAGCGCCATCCTCAAAAAAAAAACAGAAGGAAGAGAGAACAAGAAAAACAAGAAGACTTTAGAGAGAGAGAGAGGTGTACAAAGTAGTTGATGGGCATGGATGTAGTATTTTCACTATTGGGCACTTAGTAATTATACATGAGAGAGAGAGAGAGAGGAGAGAGAGTAAGTTCTCTAGAGAGAGAGAGAGGTGGTTCACATGATGGTGCATGCATGAGGATTATCGTCGCTAAAGAGAGAGGTGTATCGTTCCTGTGTGGTAGTGGGGCTTGGGAGTCCGTAGTCCAGTTTCTTGACATGGCCGGCGGGTGCCTTCTTGTCGTAGGATTGGGGAGCGTAGGGATAATAGACCAAGTTGTATGGAACGTATGGCCAAAACTCCGCCTTCTTTTTACCCGTCGATTGGACCTTCTTCAACACCTTATTTGCTTCCACGTATCCACTCACAGTCACCTTGTGTTGTTTCCTGTTCACTTCCACCTTTCTCACTCCTAATTTTAACACCACCAGCGTCTCACAAACAAATCAATCTTCAAAATCTCTCTCTCTCTAAAAAATAAGGACCTTTCAAACTCTCTCTCTCTCTCTAAGAAATAAGGACTTTCAAAATCTCTCTCTCTCTCCATTAAAAGACAAACTCAAACGAAATTTTTAAAAACTCTCTCTCTAGAAAACACAGTCTCTCTCACGCAAAAACAAGGGTGCAGTTTATACATGGCTTAGGCTCCAAACAATCAAATTAGAGCTTACCTTCAAATAGTATCGAAAAATGTAGTTTCAATATTGGAAATCAAATTAGAGCCTACCTTCAAATGGTATCGATAAATGTAGTTTCAATACTGGAAATCTTTTTATAGCCTTGAAATATATTTTCACCTTTATTTATAAAGTTTAAGTAGTGTAGATCAGAGACCTATCAAAACATAAAAATCTTAAAAAATTGAAGGAAACGTTTATATGGAGTCGATGCTCTAAGCTATCAAATTAGAGCCTACCTAAAATATTTCACCAGAAGAGGTTCTTTCGTGCCCAAATATCTTCAAATTGATCATCTCGACATCAAGATGCATGGACGTGAGAAAAAAATAGATTTTAAGTTTTGGAAATAGTGAATTTTATAATACAGTTTTGTACGGTCAATTTTCAAGGTTTTTAAGTTTACATCAATATGTGGATCTACACTATTTTTTAAGCTTTAAACTTTATAAATAAAGATGAAAACATATTTTAAGGCTAACAAAAAGATTTTCAATGTTGAAACCACATTTCTCGACACTATTTGAAGGTAGGCCGTAATTTGATTGTTTAGAGCCTAGGCTCTATACAAACCACACCCACAATCACACCAAACATACTCCTAAAAATATACCCAACAAAAAAATAAGTATTCAGCATGGCCCTCTCCCCCCGCCCCCCACACACACACGAAACCGGCATAACACCTGCTCACACACACACGAAACAGGCATAATACCTGCTCAATATACATTTCCTAATGAGAAAGTCTGGAAAAACAAACATACCAAGAGAAAAACAAGCTCTCTCTCTCTCTCTCCACATGAAACAGATAGAACGCCTGCTAAATATTCATTTCCTAATGAGAAAGTTTGCAAAAACAAACACTGGATATATAACCAAGAGAAAAACAAGAGATCTCTCTCTCTGTGCCAGGAAATGATGCTTTACCTTTCATGGAAGAGACAGCGTCCTTTACCTTTTTTTCACAACCTTCACAGTCCATCTTGACCTTGATCTCCACAGTCTGAAACCAAATAAAAATTTAAAAAAGATGAAAAAGAAGGAAAAGTATGATCATGATCTTCAATGGTGAAAACGCATAAGGCCTCTTTACCTGCAGTGGTTTACGCTTCTTACGAGAGCCGCTAATGGTGATAAAGTTAGAGAGATAATCCAATGCCCCCATTTCGATCAGAGAGAGAGACGAGAGAAGGGACTCAAATTGGCGAAGAGGTAGTGGAGGCTTATATAGTGGGAGGGAATGAAAGAGAGAAAAGTTTATATATAATAATTTAAAATTTAGAGAGAGAAAATATAGATAATAAACAAGAATATAGAAAAAGAAGGACATAGGGATTTGTAAAGAAGTGGATTACGAATCTAATTTTTTATTTGAATAATGAATCAAAGAAAAAAAAAAAGTCCTCTTATATTTTAAAATCGTCAAAAATTGGTGGGTTTTATGTGGTACCCCTTTTAAATAGAGGTTCATTGTCCTCTGCATTGAAACTTTTTCATAGATTAATGCCCTACGAATTTTCAAAATAACGGAAATACCTTTGATATCTCTGAAAACGACAATAGGACTAGGTTTTCTTGCCTGATTTAAGGATCGTTTTTCAAACCCAAAACCCACCTTCCTCTGCCTTTATTTTTTGGGTGCAGTTTGAATAGAGCCGAGGCTCTAAACAATCAAAATAGAGCACACCTTCAAACAGTGTGGAGAAATGTGGTTTCAATATCGGAAATTTTTGTTGTAGCCTTAAAATATATTTTCATCTCTAATTATAAAATTTAAACTCTAATTATAAACTTTAAAGATTAAAAAATAGTGTAGATCGAGCAGATCTATGAAAACTTAAAAATCTTGAAAATTGACGGTCCAAAAATACATTACAAGATGTACTATTTCCAAAACTTGAAATCCATTTTTTTTCACATGTTCATGCATCTTGAGGTCGAGATTATCAATTTAAGGATATTCGAACATCAAAACAACCTCTCCTAGTGAAATTTTTGATGTTGGTTCTAAAATGATTGTTTAAAGCTTGGGCTCTCAAATGATTGCTTAGAGCTTCGTTATGTAGACATGATCTCTATGAGTATATGTAGAATGAGTCACCTCTTAAAAATCTACTTTTGGAATGGATTTTTTTTTACTTAATTTTTAAGGACATGTATTCTCTAACATGGGATCATGAATATAAAAAATATATACATAAATTTTAAAACTTAAAAATAATAATTTTATTAGAAAAATATTTGGACCATTAGTTTCAATTGGGTTTAGATGGACCACCTATTTACATCCATCTTTAAGATGGATGCTTTATATCTCGGGGATCGCAAATGTAGAAATGCGATCCCCACCGCACGAAACAATTTTCCTTATTTTATAGCAATTTTTAGAAGAAATCGTGGGGAAGGTGTCCCTAACTAGGTGGCATGCTGTCTAACATGGAAGACACCAAAGTCTTTTTGGCCACATTAGGACAACCATGGCCATCTATGAATATGACAAGGGCATTCATGTCATTTGTCACAAATTTTAGGGACCACTTTTGTTTTCCATTCACAAGTGTTGTCCTCCTTATGTTAGCTTCTTGCTATTGTAGAGGCTACCTTAAATTAATTTCTTTCAATTTTTTTTGTTATATTTTATTTGGACTTTAGGAGAAAGGCTTAGATATAGTAAATGAGATGGAGTCCAATTCTAGTAAAATTTATTGATTGTGGCAATTATTTGGTGGGAAAACTGGCCCAGCACAAACCTCCTAAAACCCTAGATTTTTTAAGATGGGAGTGTTGTTAATAGCATGGGGGGTCAGGTCATTCACTAAGGACTCCATTATTGAGGGAACTTAGGTGGGTACTTTCTCCAAAAGATGGTCCTATTTCTCATTTTCTCTTTCTCCCTCTCTATTTTTTCCTAACCCTGAGCATGAGTGGTGGAAAAGGCGTGGTCTAGAGCAATTCAACCTTGAGTTTGAAGAAAAATAAATTATTAAGATATTGTATGTATAGAAAGATATGTATTTAAAAGAAGATTGAACAATCCTTGCGGCCCAAACTATAATGTGGAGAGAAATGTTTAATCTAAAGTTGTATGAGCACTTGTGATGAAGATGGGAGTAATGAGTGATGTTTCATCTGTGATGGAATGCCCTGGAAATGTCATGGACAACCCATGAACAACTCATATATAGGATATATATAGCTCTCTCTTCCTCTAATGTGGTATTGTGGTACCCCATTAGACTAAAGCGGTGAATAAATGAACGACCCGGGGATGAGCCTCGGCCCCGGCCCCCTCCCCGGCCCCGGCCCATGGCTGAGTTGAATAGCTCGGGCCGAGACAGAGTAACTCGGCCCAACCTACTGAGCTAAAAAGTGCTAAAAAAATATAAAAAGCCTCAAAAAATAGAAAAAACATGTTTAAAGTAAAATTAAATAAGCACATCTAGATGAGGTTAAAAAAAAGTAGTGAAAAAAATAGATTTTGAAAAATCAATTTGTGATAGGAATATTTTGGACATAACCCAAAAAGAAGGAAAAATACAAAAATTAGTATTCATGGCCAAAACTATTCCAATCTTTGCCAAAATAATATAAAACACAAAAAATATGTCACTAATGAATGTTTTAGGCTTTATAATTTTTTTAAAAAAAATTAAGAACCCCAAATCCAACCACCCAACTCGGGGAGACTCAGACTCGCCGAGGGGGCAAGTCCGAGTTGGCTCACTCCGAGTTTTTGTAGACTGGACTAAAGTCAAAAGATTCTAGGCTCAATTTCACTTCCTCGATCCCCACCGGTAGACCCTAGCTCGGTGCATTCTCGTGACTCTCAATTTGGGAATATAAACTCCTCAACATATCAACAAAGTTCCCAAAACCGAAAAGAAAACTAAAAATATGATATGCACGCTCTAGGTGCTGACATGACCTCCTATTGAATAAAGACCATGGCCAAAATAGTGTCGGAAAGCAGCAAGCGGGAATGGACCACATGCCCTGGGCAGGGCGGAGTAACCCAGCCTTAACCAGGCTGGTGACAAAAACAAGTATTTAAAAAATTAAAAAATATATTAGTAATCTTAAAATGAATAAATAATATTACAATGAAAATTAAACAAAACACATCTAAATGAAATTTGAAAAATTAAATTTTGAAAAATCAATTTGCTACCAAGGGTGGCGTATCTTATAAATAAAAAGAAAGTTGATATAAGGTTGAGACCTGGAACAAACAAATTAAGGTACACCTTAAATATTTACTAGCAGAGGTTGTTTTGATATCTAAAACGCATCAAACCGAACATCTCGATCTCAAGATATAGACGTGAAAAAAAATGAATTTCAAGTATGAAAAATAGTACATCTTATAATGCATTATCTAGGCATTTATTTTTTAATATTTTTAAGCATTCATAGATCTGCTCGATCCATACTATTTTTTAAGTATTATATTTTATAACTAGATATGGAAATAAAGTTTCAGGCCATTACAAGATATTTGCCATTGAAAATTCATGTTTTGATACTATTTAGAGGTATGCCTTACTTTCGTTGTTTCGGGCTTCGATCTTTACAAATCACACCCTAAAAATAATCCAAAAAGAAGAGAAAATATAAAAATAATTATTTATGATCAAAATACTTTCCATTCTTTACCAAAATAATAAAAAAAATATAAAAACATGTCATACATAATTTTCTTAATTTTTTCTTTTATATAATTTTTTTAAAAAATTTTAAGATCATGAGCTTGACCACCAAACTCGAGATATAACCAAGCTAACTGGGTAAAATCCGGTCAGGTAGTAGAAAAACGTCCCAATAAGAGGCCTACTCTAATAGGTCGGGTAGGGGGTCCCCCCCTAGCGATTAGAGCCCCTAAACAGGCTAAAAACCAGCTCACCCCAGTGGCCGAGTCTGGGTAACCAGGTCCGTTTCGATCCAGCAGGTTTTTACAAATTACAGCGGGCAACACATTATTACTCTTTTTTATTATTATTAACATCAGAGACAAGTGGCATCTCCAAGCGTAACATGTATAATCATGGTATATACTATCCATTATGTCCCCACCAAGTAATAAAAATTGAATTATAGCTATGAAAAGCAACCATAATCCTCTTTTATTTTAAGATAAAGTAATTGTAGTGATTTTCGAGGATAAACATTATCCCACTAGACTTTGTGTAATGCGTTGTCTTTGACCTGCGTTGCATAGATATGTACATGTATCAACATGTATGGTACAGCAATGGATGTGAGAAATATCATTATAAAAATTAGTAACACCATGAAAAGTCATAAATATTTGTTTCAAAATTAACTTTTAAAACATGATTTATTTAGAAATCATTTAAATAACGGGTGTGCTGGAATTTTAGATGACATTACCCGTGATATTTTGATAAGAAAATTGCAAAACAAGTATTTACGCATCTAAAATACCAAACAAAGTGTCGTGCCCTTAGTGTGTTGTCATACACAAAAACCCGTAAAAACACATTATTTTGTTCTGGATATGAAAAGAAAGGGATGGGGTTAGGGCATCAGTGGTCAAGGGGGTTGATGCTTTAAGATAACATCCTACCCTCCATTCCCACCATTAACATATCACAAAAAGAAAAGGGATTGTCTACAAAGACCATTTACCTTTTGTACAATGAGGTCACAATTATTCTGGCTCATTGGATGACAAATTAGATGGCTTGGGGTGAGTCACAATCATTCTTATCTCTTAGATTTCAAAATGGGTGGTTGTAAGAGTGTTATTGATTAGAATGGAGTTCCAATCCTTGTGCAAAAGGCAAATGGTCTCTTTGAAAATAATTTCAAAAGAAAAATACCCAAAATAAAAAAAAGATATGAAAAGAAAGAAAAAGAGACCAGGCAATAGCTCATGGCTTATCGATTTTGCACGTAAGGACCACAGTACCAGCCATTATTCCAAGTTCTACTACCCATCGTAAGGACTGCAGTACCAACCACTGTTCCAAGCTCTACTACCCATCGTATGTATCGAAAGAGAAAGTGTTCAGTGAAGTAAATCCCTTAGAGAATTTTAGAAGAGAGAGTATTTCTGAAGTGTATCTCTTGAGCAATAGAGAATTAGAGAGAAAAATTATTGTTAGGTTACGTAGCCATTAAAAACCTAATGAGAGCATGTAATCAATATCTAATAGTAGAACATAAATATAGTGGGAGTATGGTCTTTTATGG